GCGTCTTAGCCTTGACCCTTCCTGCTTTGAGGTTTGCCGGCTGCCTCGACCGGCTGGCCTATCCTAAAAGCAGATGAAATATTTGCCTCACAATGGGCTCTTTCTGCAAGGGGAGTCCCAGCCAAGTTTGCTTTCAAAGCGCACCCTGTCTCAGATAACCCTTCATGGGATAGTCATGAACATCTCACATGCTCGCTTTGTTCGTAACTGACAGGCTGTTCTGAGACCTTCCTACCTTCATTCAACTGTGGCTGTGTCACGGATTTTCAGTGCTGCAGTCCCATGGATTGGCTCCAAAACTGAGAGAACAGATTGTGAAATCTTTGTTCCCCGACTGTAACTACAGCCCTTTGCGGTGAAGACACAGGTCTTCCCACGGTTCCTCTTCTTCTAGAAAACAGGTCGACAGGGACAGCGTCCGAAACCCCAATTCACAGCCAAACTCCGATGAAAATAACCTGGTTCCTGAAGGCCCTACAGGGAAGGGGAGAGAATTTAAAAGCAGAAATAAATGATTGTTGTTATAGTGATGTTGTGTATGTTTAAGTTTTATTATTATTATTTATATAATCTTAGTGCCTAATTACCGTAGTTGTGGACTCTTTTATGCTTGGTGCTGTACAAAGAATGAACAAAAAGACAGGTCCCATGTGCTCACAACCGAAGACAGGAGACCACAGATGATACAGTGGGATCGGGATGTACAAGTAAACAGTGAAACACCAGTGATCAGGGTAGTTAGGGTGTGGACTAGAGTTACCGAGTCTGATCCTCAGCTCGTGTAAACCATTGTAGCTTCAGTGAAGCCCTAAGTGTCCAGGCCTAAGGCTTTTAGCACACCATGGAACCGAAGCCCCAACGGGCCTCTCTTGTAGTTTTAGATTCTGCCGAAATCTTGCAAGAAAAGCTGGCATATGGGGGTTTTGACTGTTTGCAAACAAAACCTTCCAGAGTTGCCTTGATGAATTTCCGCAAACCTTATAGCCAATTTGGCCTTGAATTTAGGATCCAGATTAGGGATGTAAAAACCCATTAAAATAGCTAACTGGTTAAACGATTTAAATTATATGTTAACCGCTGTGGACGCGGTCAGGCTGGCGGCGGCAAGGGACTTGTCCACCGTAGCTGTGGACGGGAATAGGGAACCGCTCCAGCCAGGCCAGGTAACTGGTTAACCTCTTATACCCCCAAATCCAGATCCAAACACTGTTTCTTGGGCTCAGCCCTGCTACTTTCTAATACTTGTCTCATTAGTAATAAGAGTTTGCCTAGAGCAGTTTCAACAAGCCACGGGGCATGGGAGACACTAGTCTTCCACATAACAAGCTCCATGACATTTATAGGAGGCAGAGTTAAATGAAATTATATTTGGCCAAAGTCACACAGGGTAAACAAATCCACACGTGGGCCACGTTCCATACTCAGGTACGCTGATATAAATCCAGAATAGCGCCATTGCTTTCAGGGGTACTCAGCAGAAAGGCAGTATGGCCTAGTGGATAGAACACTATGCTAGGATTCCAGGGACCTGGGTTCTTTCTGCTGCTCGCTCTGCCACTAGGGGACTAGAGGTAAGTCACCCCATGCCTCAGTTTTCCCATCTGTATAATGGGGATAACAATTCTGACCTCCTTTGTAAAACGCCTTCAGTGCTGCGGATGAAGTGCTGTGTGATTACACAGCTGTACAGCAGTGTAACTCTGACCAGATCTGGGGCTGAGGTGTTTAATGGTTCCTGGTGTGTTGGCCAGTCCACAAGCTGCCTCCTGGCTCAGTCCACGCAGCGTAGCCGAGTCTGGCCCTGATGTCTGTGTCTGGCTTTTCCAGGGACCTGAAATGCAAGATTGAAAAGGAGAGCACCAAACGGGAGCTCCTGTCTGATCAGTCCCACCTCAACGAGACCCACTGCGTCCACTGCCTGCAGCCCTTCAAGTTTCTGGTGAACAGCAAGCGCCAGTGCTTGGACTGCCACTTCTACACCTGCAAGAACTGCAGCCGCTACCACAAAAAGGAGCAAGCCTGGATCTGTGACCCCTGCCGCTTAGCCAGGTAGGAGGGCCAGGCTCAGCAGACCTGCGGCGGAAGGGGGTTTTGCAGTGGACTGGTGCTGGAGATGAGTGGCAGTGCGGCCTAGTGGGCGGAGCCCAAGACTGACACCTGGGAGACCTAACTTGCCGCTAGCCCATTGCCTGGCTGGGGCAAGTTGCTTTGTGGCTCCGTGCCTCGGTTTCCCCATCTGTGCAATGGGGATAACAACACTAACCTCCTTTGTGGAGTGTTTTGAACTCTACATGTGAATGCCACTCCATAGAACAAGGTCGGGGGAGGCAAGATACGGCCTGCAGGCCAGATCCAGCTCACCAAGCCTTTGGATCTGGCCCGGAGTCCGTATCCTCTCCTGCATCCCAAACTCCCTTCTGCACCCAGCCTCCATCCCTGACCCTGCACCTCCTCCATAGAAAAGTGCAGCCCTTTACCACTTACCAAAATCTTGGAGTGGGCCCCCAGCAAAAATGATAGCCCACCCCTGTGCTAGGCACTACTATTCTGAGTAACCCCAATGGTTAGGCCAAGCCAGGGTCAAGGATCCCAAAGGAACTCACATGCCAGTTCCCTCTCCAAAGAACTGTGATTGTTGTAGTTGGGGGGGCAGTTCCTGTTCTTTTTGGGTCACTTTCTCAGACTTCCCTGGGGCCCCTCTGCTAGAGCTAGAGCAATTCATGGAGGTTAGGTCCATCATTGGCTATTAGCCAGGCTGGGCAGGAATGGTGTCCCTAGCCTCTGTTTGTCAGGGTCCGGGAATGGGTAACAGGAGAGGGATCACATGTTTTAATCTGGCCCTCCAGCTCCAGGGTCTGGGGCTTGCCCTGCGTGCCATGGAAGCAGCAGCATGTCCCCCCTCCCCCCTCCACTGCTCCAACTCCTAGGCCTAGAGGTAGCCATAGGGTTCCATGTGCTGCCTCTGCCCCAAGCACCGCCCCCACAGCTCCTATTGGCTGGGAATCGCAGCCAATGGGAGCTGCAAGGAGGGCAGAGCCTAGAGACACCCAGAAGGGGAACATGCTGCTGTCTCTTGAGGAGCTTCGTGCAGCCTGGAACCTGCACCCCTGAGCCCCCCCCTCCCCACAACACCTGTCCCAGCCCAGGGCCCCCTCCCATCCTCCAAACCCCTCAGTCCCGGCCCAGAGCCCCCGCTAGCACCCCAAGCCTCTTATCCCCGCCCCACCCTAGAGCTCGCACTCCCAGCTACAGCCTCATCCCCTCTCACATCCAACCCCCAGCCTGCAGCTCCTTCCAGCACCCTGAGCTCCTCGTTTCGGGCCTCACCCCAGAATCCTTGCCCCCTCCCACACCCCAGCCCCAATTTCATGGGCATTCATGGCCCTCATACAATCTCCATAGTCTTATGTGGCCCTCTCCCCCCCCGCACCCTGCTCCAAGGGGAAAGGAGGATTCGTATGTGTGTGCCGGGAAATAAACCCGACATCTTGGCTTTCTCTGTGTCTTCCACTGGGGCCCGATCCAGCACCTTCTAAGCTTAAGTCGGCAAGCGCCCTGCTGTGGGTTGGATGGATCCGCTAAGCCACTGGCCAATGGAAGTGCAAGCACCCTGGCTCGGTGCGTAAGTTACCGTCTCTCTCTCTCTCTCTGGGCAGGGTTGTGAAGATTGGTTCCCTGGAGTGGTATTATGAGCACGTGCGATCCCGTTTCAAGCGGTTTGGAAGCGCGAAAGTGATGCGGTCGCTCTACGGCAGGCTGCAGCACGGGCAGAACATGAATCCAGCATTGCTAGGTAGGGTGACAGGCTGTGCTCCTTTTCCTCTGCCTCGCAGGCTTGTTTCACGAATGGCTGTGCGGCCCCCTGTCGATATCCAACACCCATACGTAAGCGCCTAAGAACGGCCATGGGCCATCAGGCCAAGTGTCCTGTCTTCCAGCCCTGACCAGAGCCAGATGCTTCCGAGGCAAGATTGAGAACAAGACAATTATTCAGCATCAACTACAGGTTGAACCTCTCTAGTCCGGCTCCCTCAGGATCTGACCGGTGCCAAACCAGAGAATTTGCCAGATCATGGGAGGTCAATATTGTCTAGCAGCATCACCAACACTTCCACTGCTTACTGGGCGGTTGGAGGATATTTAGGAGGTAAATTAGAGATAAATAACAGCACCGGACACTGAGAACCAGGACAGGTGGCTGTAAACAAACTTTATGGGACCGCGGGAAAGTTGGCCATGAAAAGTGGACATCTGGCTCACTAAAATCATGCCAGACCATGGATATTTTGGGACCAGAGCATTCTGGACTAGAAAGGTTCAACCTGTAGTTCCAGCATCTGGCAATCAAAGGTTTACATGCTACTGTTAGTAAATGAACCAAAATTCAATTAATTTGGAGTCATTTAGTTTCTCTGCCACTGACTTTCCTCCATAACCTCTGGCAACTCTTTTAATCATTCTTTGCATCAGTTCCCCAGCTATAACATTTGGATTGTCTCAAGCAGGGACTGAAACTAGGTAAAATGTATCCCGGGCGCAACTTTATTGATTCCAGGGGAGAATGTGGATGTGTGTGGGTATGTATATACACATGTATGTGGTGCAAATATACAAATATACAGATATGGTGCTTTTCAACCAATATTTGCACTGTTGTTTAAAATATCGCTAAGCCTGTAAGGAGGAGTTAGTCCTAGACTAACATTCATGCTTCCTGGTGCAAAGAAACCCAGAGCGTGGCTGCTTTTAAATAATCGACTTGAGTGGAGTGAGGGCAGTTTGCACACATTGAGATGCTAGGCCTGCAGTAAAAGGCCTTTCTCATCTGCTCCTGTTTTCCGCACGCTGATAAACGTTTGCATACTGACTTGCCAGCAGGTGGCAGTGTTAGACAGCATAGCGATTCCCCAGGGGTCACCGATGCCTGGTACAAGATTAACAAGCACATCTGCTGAAGTTGCTGTCAGAATTAAACTCTGGGGATCGGATCGCACAGGAACCAAAGGGCAGTGTGTGGGGGATGCGAATGAGAGGGAGTGTCCCTAGCGCCTGGCAGGTATCAAAGAGACCTGCAGTAAGTACAAAATGGGGGAGGGAGAGCGAATTCAGGGCACATTAGCATTTAGAACATCCCAGCTCTTCTAGACGGAGCATAAGGAGTTACCGACTCTCGTAATTTTATCCTAAGTCTTGCCTTATTTGGTGCTTTGCTTTCAAGCCCTAACTCCTGGAACCTTGTAAGAATCTCTGCTTCCCTTTTTTAAAAAAAATAACCCCTCCATTTCCAGCCTTTCTGGTTGCAGAGCAAAGCTTGATGAACTAACCGAAGCATAAACCCTAGGCTTAAAAAACACAAGGCAAATTAAAAAAAAAAAAAATCCCAACGTTTTTATTTTATTTTTTTTAATCTCATGAATTTGAAGCCAATTGCATGATTTTTCAGGCACAGCTCGTTGGGGTTGCATTGAGGTTGGCGATCTTGGATCAACCGAGATCCATGAAACTGATCCTACCATTGCTAAGGCCTTTGGACCAGGTCTTTGTTATTTTCGAGAGGCCTGAGTATTTAAATATGCGTTTGCAATGTGGCAGGCCAGGACTGGATTTATCAACCAAGCTACCATCGGCATGGTACAGCCACCTCTCTAAGGGTATGTCTACACTAGGCCCCTAGTTCGAGGCTAATGTAGGCATTACCCTAGGGAGGCTAATGTAGGCATTCGAAGTTGCAAATGAAGCCCGGGATTTAAATATCCCAGGCTTTATTTGAATGTTCCCGTCCGGTCGCCATTTTGAAATTCCACTAGTCCGAAGTAACTGACAGCAGCTACACGCGGCAGTGAAACGGTTATTCGAACTCAGTCCTTAGTTCGAATGAACTGTTACTCCTCCTGGAATGAGGCGTAACAGTTAGTCCTTAGTTCAAATTAACTGTTACGCCTCATTCCAGGAGGAGTAACAGTTCATTCGAACGAAGGACTGAGTTTGAATTACCGTTTCACTGCCGCGTGTAGCCACGGGCAGTTACTTCGGACTAGTGGAATTTAAAAATGGCGACCGGACGGAAACATGGAAATAAAGCCCGGGATATTTAAATCACGGGCTTCATTTGCAACTTCGAATGCCTACATTAGCCTCCCTAGTTCAACCTACGGGGCTAGTGTAGACATACCCTAACTCTGTAACAATGGCCTGCTGCCACTGTGACATAGTATTTCTGCTGTGTCCTTAATGCAAACGGGTCCGGTTGTGTATGGTGATGTCAGGGTGGCGGAATTATTTTCCTGCCATGAGGAGCCAGATAATAGTGTGCAGTAATGCCGTGGGCATACGTTAATTAAACCTGCATGCCCTTGTTCATTTCCAGAGTCCACTCATTCCCAGAAATATAATTAGAAGCACATGGTGCAGTTATGTTAATTTCATACTGTTTTCTAGATCTGCAGAGCACTTAGCAATATACCCGAAAAGCGTTTAAATGTATAGTTTAAAGCAGCACAAAGGGAATACTGAAATGAGGATGAAGAATTATGACTTGCTTCGTCCTTTTTCATCCCAGAGGGGATGGTAACATTTCGTTTTCAATTGAAGACACAGGTAAATTGGCAGGCTTCTTTCGCTGGAGTTACTCATCTGATAATAACTAGGATTGACTACGGGCAGCGTGATAGAGGAGGGCTAGGCCTTAGTGGCTTCTGTGGCATCTTTTCATCCAGCAGAGACACTGCCAAGTCCTACATGCTGCAGGGAATGGAACTGTAAGCGTGTGCGTTTCATCCAATTGAAACTGACGGGACTGCTCGAATGCTCAACATGTAGCTTAATTACACAAGGGAGTCAGGGTCTTAAGTGGTTGATAATGTTGTCTGAAAAATGCCCAAGTATATCGGTCTGTCCTCCTTTCCTTCCCTGCCTGGCTTGAGACACACAGGGAAATGAATGAGTCTTGCAGCATGCCTTGCACTTCAGAAGTGTCCGCCCCACTGGGGAAGGAGATCGGCCCCTGCCAGGCAGCTGCGGATGGTTCACGCTCATGCCCAGGCTCCTTGTGACCATCACTTGTCACACAGTCTGTCGTCAAGGCCTAAACCATTCAGAGCCTCTCTGGCCGCACCTGGGGCCTGCAGCCTGCCAGTGTAATCCCAAGGCCCGGGAGTGACTTTACAAGCAAGCGGCCGCTTTCTGCCCCAGCTGCGGTTTCTCAGTGGCGGGAAGGCAGAGCCTCATGCAGGGGTAGCCAGCTGGCAGATTACCGAGTCTGCCTCCTGCTGAGCGTGGTTGGGCGGTTGCTTGGTGTAACAGACCTGTAAAAAGTGTTTCTTTTCCCCCTCGGCTTTTCTTTGCCCTTAGGTGTCCACGACAGAGTTTACAGCTTGCCAGACATCAACCGTAAGTCAGCTTTTCAGTGCATCTAACAGGAAATGGTAGCGGGACTGGCTCTCACTGTGGGCATCCCCAAATCTGCTTTCCTGGTTCTTTTGGCTCCCAGAAGCCCAGAACTGTTGTACACTTTGAACAGTAGATATCGGGGGGATAGGGGTTGGAAAATTGGAGCCTCCGTACGTTCAGTCTTTCACTCTAACCTGCAGTGGGGCAGCCGTGCTCCGAATCACGTGCTGAACTTTAATAATGTGAGTCGTCCTGTGTAAGACGGTGGGACTACACGTGTTTAAAGTTAGGCAGTGAGAATCACAATGGCTCCCATTCCTACGGAGTGCCCATATATACTATTTAGCTTCTGGCAAACATGACCCCCTAAATCCCTTTACACAGTACTCCTTCCTAGGGAGTTATTTCTTATTTCGTGTGTATGCAATTGATGATTCCTTCCTAAGTGGAATACTTAGCATTTGATATCTTTTTTGAATTTTACGTTATTTATCTCAGGCATTTTTCCAGTTTCTTCAAATCATTTTGAAATACAATCCTATCATCTAAAGCACTTGTGACCCCTCCCAGCTTTGTATCAGCCACAAACATTATTATATGTGTAGTACAGTATGTATGTCATTATCTAAGTCATTGATGAAGATATTGAACAGAACCTAATCCAGAATTAATCCCTTTGGCACCACACTCATTATGCTCCCCTACTTCCACCATGATTGAGAACCATTGATAACTACTCTCTGGGAATGGATATCCAACCATTAGGCAACCACCTTATAGTAGCTCCATCTAAACTGTATTTTCCTAGTTTGTTAATAAGAAGGTGTCATGATTATGAGGGTTAGCCAGCAGCCTGGGGATTAAGGGGTTAACTACACCTAGCCAGGTGGAGTGACCAATAGGAATGTAGGTGGGACTTTTCAAACTGGGACAAAGGAATTTGGGTTTTTTTCTTTTCTCCCTTTTGTCTCTCTGGGAGTTCTCTGCAGCTACAGAGAGGGACAAGCATGTCTCTCTCTCTCTCCAAGACATCATTCTTCATTTTCTGTAAGTAGGGTCAAGTTTAGGTAGTTTCGTTAGGTTTTATTGTGTTATGGATTGGGTATGGGATCTGATGTCTGGCACTGCTTAAAAGATGTTTTGGCTTTTCTTTGTAACTAAGTTCTAGGCCCATGGAGTTTCTCCATGAGTATATTTTGTTACCTTCCTCTCTAGTCATTATACTTGCAACCAGAATATTGTTGTAATAATAAAAGTTCTTTCTTTTCTTTTATTAACCTGGCAGTGGTTAATGGTGTGCCCTGATTTTTGTTTTAGGGGGAAGATTTCCCAAATGATCTTTCCCCTGGTTTCTTTAGCAACATTTGGGTGGTGGCAGCGGAAGTTTTATTCCCAAGATCTTAAAAACCTAGATCTTGGGAATAAAACTTCCGCTGCCACCACCCAAATGTTGCTAAAGAAACCAGGGGAAAGATCATTTGGGAAATCTTCCCCCTAAAACAAAAATCAGGGCACACCATTAACCACTGCCAGGTTAATAAAAGAAAAGAAAGAACTTTTATTATTACAACAATATTCTGGTTGCAAGTATAATGACTAGAGAGGAAGGTAACAAAATATACTCATGGAGAAACTCCATGGGCCTAGAACTTAGTTACAAAGAAAAGCCAAAACATCTTTTAAGCAGTGCCAGATCTCAGATCCCATACCCAATCCATAAAACAATAAAACCTAACGAAACTACCTAAACTTTACCCTACTTACAGAAAATGAAGAATGGTGTCTTGGAGAGAGAGAGAGACATGCTTGTCCCTCTCTTGTCTCTCAGAGAGTTCTCTGCAGCTACAAAGGAGAAAGGAAAAAAAAAAACCAAATTCCTTTGTCCCAGTTTGAAAAGTCCCACCTACATTCTTATTGGTCTCTCCACCTGGCTAGGTGTAGTTAACCCCTTAATCCCCAGGCTGCTGGCTAACCCTCATAATCATGACAGGGTGTTTCGTCCCTCTCGGGGTTGGCCAACGAGCTCCCCAGGAATTTTGCTGTTTGGGGTTGTGCCTTTATCTCTGCTTTCCAAAGCAGTATGGAGTAGGGGTGTAAAATCCCATTTCAATGTAATGTTTAACTGGGTAATCACTTACACCGGGGCTGCTCCAACCCCCACTCACCTGCCACAGCCAGATTAACACAGAGTGCTGAAGAGGTCTAGATTTTCTATTCATAGTCCCTGCCATACAGGGCCAGTGAGAATCAGGAGGAAAACTGTACTGGACCGGATTTAGAGGTGAAAATGAGCAAATCTACACTGGGGTAATGGATGCGTTAGTCAGTAGCTGAGACTCAGTGAGGTTCTCTGAGACTCACGCTAATCTCCTGTCCCATAATTTAACATGAATTTGGCCTAGTGAGTCCGTGGTGGGGCATTTCATACAGCAGAGAGCTGGCAGATGGGTCTGCAGCAGGAACAGCGGATAGTCAGAGAGTGTAAGATAATATAAGAGGACAAGGAACCCACGGCCACACACATCACTGTCACCAAGACACGTGTCTGGGCCCGTCGGTACCAGGAACGCTGGCCTCTATCTCAGCTAAAGGAGGCCTCCTTTTGTGGTACTGGGGTGATAGTGGGCAATCCGTGGACCAGCCGCTAGAGGGAGACATGCTCCCACGCTAAGGCAGGGTGTTGGAAAGCATGGGTGAAGGCAAGAGGCCAATAGGAGCAGGAGCTGGCTGGAAGAGGCGCTATGAGAGAAACACCAGTTAGGGCCGAAAGTCAGGGTGCCATCTCTGAGACCTATTGGCTTCCCCCTCTCCCATCATCAATAAAAAGGTCCTCGTGCCAGCCATTGCTAACTGTTAGGGAAATATGCGGAAAGTCATTGGACAACCCCCCCCCCCCCAAACAAAAAAAAAGACAAAATAAGTGTATTTTACCATTGTGTACCCCCAAAGACCCTGACCCCATAACACAGCAAATGTATACTCACACACAGACCCACATCCCATAACATACACAATAAGTGTATTTTTATGTTTAATTGTTTAGCAAATTACATGTTTTCATCAGCAACCCCGGCAATAGGAGTCAGGCCAGGCGGGTTAAAAGCCAGCCAAGTAGCAACCCAAGAGCAGCCAAGAGAGCATGTCACTCTGGCCAGGGAATGGCTGGTCTCCCCCCCCAGCCGCTCGGCAATCCAGCCGCTGGGTGCCAAGCCCTTGATGCGCGTTTCCTTGTGCCCTCTCCAGGGGAGTGCCAGTGGCGCGCCGGCAGCGGGGTGGGCACGGAGAGCGAGGACGAAGACGCTCTCGTGGACGGCGCAGAAGCTGAGCACTACACGAGGGTGAGCGTTTACCGCGGGGGCCGGGCCCTGCCTCGTTCTGCAGCGTGGGCTGCGCTCTTCTCCACTCTGGGCTGTCCTGGCTGCGGGGAGCTGTCTTTGCCATGCTCGGCCTAGTGGGCACAGCTCTAGGCTGATCTGGGTTCTCGTCCTGGGTCTGCTGGGTAACCTGCACGTCCCCTCTGTGCCTCGGTCTCCTTCTCTGTACATTGGGGATAATAATCTTGACCTTCCTTTATACAGCACTCTCAAGATGAAAATGAGCTAGTTCTTGGTGAATAGATTCTACCCGTCGCATTTCATTGGGTGCCTTTTCATACCATGGGTCAGCCTCTTAGCGAACTTCAGTACCGCTCCCCTCCCACCCCCATTACATCATTGGCATTGTCTGGGGAGACAAGTGTTTGTTTCAGTTCCTTTTCCAGAAGTACAGTCACTTCGTTCAGTCTAAGCTGTTAAAGGCATAAGCTGTCCTTCCTCAGAACTGTGCGCGCACTACGGCCCTTACAGCGGCACAGCTGTCTCACGGCAGCAGCACTGCTGTAAGGTGTCCCGTGGAGCTGTCACACGCACGCACATGCGCTCAGAGCAGCAGTAGCTATCCCAGCGGGAGAGCCTCTCCCTCCAACATAGCGCCGCTCACCCCGGCGCTTCTGCTGGTGACACATCAGCCAGGGGTGTGATTTTTCCCACACCCCTGTCCAACAGAAGCTTTGCCGGTGCAGACACCGTCTCATTTTGGGGGAGGATCTCATAAAGGGGCGTGGGCCTCCGGCAATGAAGGGTAAAACTCTGCATGTGCCAGATAAATGGGATCTAACTGCAAAGCTGCAAGAGGTGTTTTAAGGCGCGGAGAGGGCCTGGCCTCCTGGCTATTCTGGACTGATGCCCAGGTGAAAAGGGGACATTTTTGGAGGATTCCCACAGCAGCTGTTGGAATTCTCTGTGGCATTGGAGCCAATCTCACTTCTCCATAACTCTTTAATCAGGGTCTCATCCACAGCCCAGCAACGTGTGGTCTTGAGCTAAAGATCGCTGAATTCAAGGGGAATCTTTCTGTTCACGTCCAAGTATGCGGGCATGGACCTTGCTCATCTGATCCATGGCACTATTGGCTGGCGTTCCCACCCTCATGTGCACACCTAGCCTTGAACCGGGAAGAAATGTGATCCCCCTTTCTGCCCTCAGCCACCCATAATGCTCCATGGATGTGTTAGCAGGGCGGCCTGGCAGAAAGCGAGCCACGTTCCCTCCCTAAATCCAATCCAGCAAACCTGCACCGTGAGCCACCAGGAGAGAGGAAAACACCCCCCCAGGAACATAGGCAGAGAGAGGGCGTACTGGGCAGAGTCCCCTTTTTAAGGCTGAGTTGTGTTTACCATGAATTATGCTTTCTTGCACTTTCTATGCTTTCTAAGATGCGCAAGACAAAGCGCCTGCTGTCTGTCCACCCCTTTGATTTTGAGTTGGACTCAGAATATTCTGCTCAATCACGTCGTCAGTCTATGCAGCTTTCGCAAACTCCGGTCAACCAGGATGGCTTCCAGGTACTTGGGCGGTGGTAAGGGATTGCTGTTCTCTCTTTCCTTGCTCCCTCCGGTTTCTTCTCTTCCGCGTGGAGTTTCCAGCGAGGTGATGCTGATTAGCTTCTGCCCTTGCTTTCTTTTCTGCCACATGGACCTTTCTTCCGAAGGCCGCTGAGGACTGGGGAGCTAGACGGCAGGAGATTCAGAAGAGCTTGTGGCTGCTGATCTCATTTTCTTCTGGGTTTTATCACTTTTTTTTGAACAGGCCCCTGCAGGTTAAGTCTATTTCTTGGTGCTCCCACAAGCACACGTGCTCAATTCATGCCTAGCCTCCACGGTAAGGGATGAAGTTGGCTTCTTGTGAGTCCAGCCAGCTTCTCTGGCTGGAGATGGAGAGCAAGGCAGGTTGGGAGTTGTAGTCCTTGTGCCCAGCCCTGCAGCACTGGTCCTGGCACAGCTTGTTGGGGAAAGGAGCAGGAAATGGAACAATAACATTTTGTTTTAAAAGTTAACCAAAGCTTGGCGATTTCAGACTCTGAAATGAGGTTGATGAAGATTTTGGGCCAAACCATTTAGGATGGTTCTAGCTTGTCCTCAGGACAGGCACTGTGACCGCAGCCTGTGAGGAAACCGTATCTTTAGAAAGCATCCAAATAGAATCCGGATTTGGGGAGCCATGTTAGTGTTGAATCGGTAAACGGACTAGACACTTGAAAAGCATAGATGTGTGGGCAGAGATTGTCAAAGCTGCTTAGGGGATTGTGAGACCTAGTTCCAATTAGAACGGTGAGGTGTCTAAATCCCTTTAAGCAACTATTTCAGATGCCTCCTGTTTTTAGATGGTGGTTCAGGAATTGGAAGTAGAAAGTGGCTCCATTAATTTGCCGGTGCGGGGAGGGGGGAATAACCTGCAAATATTTTGCTCAGAAGTGGTTTGTGGGACCAGACAGCCCACTGTCTGGTCCTGACCAGTGTCCCCTTTCGTCAGCCGTTCCCAGATTTCCCAGATGCCGGGGAGGACCCCTCCCGGAAGGAGACGATGGTCGCAGAGGCAGACCTGGCTGCCGTGTTCCACCAGATCCTGCAGGAGCAGGGGCAACACGTCACCCCTCCAGAGCAGGAGTTTAGCACCGAGCTCCGGCTGACCGTGAACTCCCAAAGGAAGAGCATGGAAAGAAATCCCAAACTCGGTAGGCCACACTGACAAGGGTCCGTCTGTCCCAGCTGAGGAAGAGCAGCTGGCCTGCAGTCCTCTCAGAATGGAAACGTTAGGGGTTCAAAAATAACTCACCTATGACATCACAACACAAAACCCTAACCACGCATTTGATTGGCACGTGCAAATCCGCTTACACAGAGAGCTGGTCTTTTCTAGCAAGGGCTGTCACTTACCTATTCCCCAGCCTGACTCCCTCCCACTCTAGGTTGTGCTAGATCTCGCAGGCCTTCCTTACTTAGCAGGTCAGATGAAATAAAAGTGAACAGGAGTGTGGTAAGCAAGACACAAGGAGTCCTCCTTCTGCTCTACTTTGAGCTGATGAGGCCTCAGTTGGAGTATTGTGTCCAGTTCTGGGCACCCCATTTCAAGAAGGAGGTGGAGAAATTGGAGAAGGCCCAGAGAAGAGCAACAAAAATAATTCGAGGTCTAGAAAACATGAGCTATGAGGGAAGACTGAAAGAATCGGGATAGTTTAGTTTGGAAAGGAGAAGACTGAGAGGGGACATGATAGCGGTTTTCAGGTGTCTAAAAGGGCGTCACAAGGAGGCAGGGGAAAAATTGTTCTCCTTGGCCTCTGAAGACAGGACAAGAAGCAATGGACTTAAACTGCAGCAAGGGTGGTTTAGGTTGGACAATAGTTGGACAGGGTGGTGAAACACTGGAATAAATTGCCCAGGGAGGTTGTGGAATCTCCATCACTGGGGATATTTAAGAGCAGGTTGGACAGACACTTGTCAGAGATGGTCTAGACGGTGCTTGGTCCTGCCACGAGGGCAGGGGACTAGACTCAATGACCTCTCGAGGTTCCTTCCAGTTCTAGTGGTCTATGATTCTATTCTATTCCCTGCCCTGAGCTTCCAGTGACTTGAACCCATTCTGCCCCCAAAGACAGCCCATGGAACGAGAGGCACCGACCCCAGTACTCAGCGGATATGGACACTTCCGATGACGACATCAAGGGAGCCCAGAAGTTCCCTGTCTACCAGACCCACCACGTGAAACGCAGGAACAGAGCCTCCTCCCAGGAGAATATAAACTACTCTGGAAACCAGGTAACCAAGGGATGGTAACCCATTCCCAGTGGCACGTGGGATTATCTCCGTGGCTGGGATGCCACAAGCTAAGTCACCCGTGAAGCGTAGCCCATGCAGGATTGTTCAGGCAGGTGGGGCTTTGCTGCAGTAAAACAATAACCTTCTCCAGATCATTATGGAGTGGGCAGCCGTGCTGGTGGACCATGGCAGGGCAGAGAGAGCACTCTCTGTGCAATCAAGAAAGCAGCTCCCACTGCCTGTACCACAGCAACCACTTCCACGCCTCACCCCACCACCCTGTTATGAAGGGCCAAGAATGCCGTGGCCTGGAGTCGAAGCACCAGACCCACAAGACCAGCGAGTCCTTGGTTATAGAGAGAATCCACATGCGGCTGGGTATGCTTGTTTTGCTGCCCCGCTGCATTGCCAGAGAGTCTAGGGCAGTGTTTCTTAAACTATGAGGCAGTCGGAGGTGTGCTGTGGAGAACAGAGTTCAAAATGGCTGCCCTTAAAGGGACAAGTGACTTTTTTTTCCTCAACAAAAAATCCTTGGTGTGCCACTTTTTTTTTTTTTTTTAAGATTGTTTGATGTTCCTCGGTCTTAAAAAGTTTAAGAAACACTGGTCATGGGCCTATCTCTTAAGGTATTTTCCTGGTTCCATTTATTATGGCTGGGGCACAGGCACCTAGACATAGGGCAGTGTTTCTTAAACTATGAGGCAGTCGGAGGTGTGCTGTGGAGAACAGAGTTCAAAATGGCTGCCCTTAAAGGGACAAGTGACTTTTTTTTCCTCAACAAAAAATCCTTGGTGTGCCACTTTTTTTTTTTTTTTTAAGATTGTTTGATGTTCCTCGGTCTTAAAAAGTTTAAGAAACACTGGTCATGGGCCTATCTCTTAAGGTATTTTCCTGGTTCCATTTATTATGGCTGGCTCACAGGCACCTAGACAGTGCTGTCCCATGCCACAGCATGGCCCATGTTCTGCTCGTGGATCCAGAAGGACAGCGGGTTGATTCCCGTGAGAGTTGCACCAGCATAAACAGGGGTGGCTCTGGTGAGGCACCTTTAAAGCCCACTGATGCTGCCAAGTGATGTGCCTAGCCAGAGAAAGACCAGATCCATCCATCTCTCCCCCCACCTTTTCACACTGAACGGCTCTGCGCCTCTCATCCCCACTCCGTCCTCTTCACCGCCCTGCGTTTGCAGCTCAGCAAGAAGAGGAAATGGAGTTCTACCTCACGCTGCCTTTAGCTGCAGTAAGAAGGCCAGCCTGGTCCATTTATTCTATAAGCTGCCTGTCATTCCCTCTGCACCAGAGAAAGACTCTACTCACCTTTACTGAATGGGTCAGTGCATTAGGAGCAGCTAACGCCTTGGAACGGGATCACTGCTCCTTTCGTGATCCTCTTCTTCCTGAGTAGCGCCTGAAGTGTTCTAACTGCAGTCGGAAACGGGTGCTCTGCTCTGTCACTTACATGTGAGTGAGGCTCAGGGTGAAGCTGCAAATGGTGCTTATTCTCGGGTGGGGAGAAGGGAGTCTGGTTTTTCCCCCCCGGGGTTGAAGGCTTTAAACAGATTACAAAACCACAAGTTGAGTCAACCGACAGCCTTGCTCGTCTGCTGAATGAAAGCACACGCTGGTGTTTGGATAAACAGGTGTGAAGGTAACTCACAGGCTAATTTCCAATCTACATTTACAACAAGTGGAGCAGTCTAGGTTCTTTGCACATCCCAAACACCGGCTGCAATCAGTGGGCGTCTAGGTGGGGGAAACAAATATGCAATCTAACACCAAGAACATTAAATCTGAGGCTGACGTGCTGAATGCTAGTTTTAGTCAAGACTGCCTCAGTTTCTTCAATGCATACTGTAATTACTGCTGCCCACTGCTTCTGGAACAGCAATCTGAAGCCGTCAAGAGGTGGAGTGTCCACAGTTACCTTTGGGTCATTTGTGCCAATGGTTAATCACCCTGGCTGGTGTGTTTAAAAAAAAAAAAATCAAACCCTTGTGCCTTAGTCTTAGTGTAATCATTATGGCACGAATATGACTTTAAAATCCTCCACATTCTGACTTTAAAATCACGGGATTCTCCATAAAAGTTGGGGTGGAGGGTTCCTACTGGACCTCTGGTGTCTGAGTCTTTAAGGGCAGGATCCACTTCTTCAGGCTTTTTCTGCATTCATGAGACCTGGAAACTGTCTTTGTAAGAAGCTTAAAATAGAGATTCTCTCATAATCACCTGTCTCCAGGGAGCTGTACGAAACAACGATATGAGAGCTGGCAACACTGGAATGATGTGTAAACACACAACTGGACCCCTGTTTAGGGCCCAGTCCTTCTCCCATGGAAGTTGGTGCTAACGCTTCCACTGGCTTTAAGAGAACAGAAACAAACCATTCGACGGGACAGTACTTCCATTGTCATTTGCTTTTTGAACAGAATGTTTTATCAACTCTCCTCAGTTTCCCTCCAAAAATCCCCCTAGTCATATGTGTCTCAATGAAGTTACATGCTCCTGGTTTTCTCTTCAGTGTTTTTCTTTATATTTTTCAATGTTGGCACAACTAAAGGCTGGTCCAAACCCCCAGGAAATCAGTGGGCATAGACTCAGGTCCAAAGTGAACAGACTATATAATGGATGAACCAGTTTTCTGGGATACTTGTATGTGGAATACCCCTGTTGCCTGTTTCCAGTTCAGGGTCGAGATGATCTCACATGCAAAAGCAAACAAACAAGCACCCAATTTCTGGAAGGTTCCAGATGTCTCCTGGAGCAGATGACTTACAAGGAGAGGCTGAGGGATTTGGGTTTGTTTGGTCTGCAGAAGAGAAGAGTGAGGGGGGATTTCAGAGCAGCCTTCCACTTCCTGAAGGGAGGTTCCAAAGAGGATGGAGAGAGGCTGTTCACAGTAGTGACGGATGGCAGAACAAGGAGCAATGGGCTCAAGTTGCAGTGAGGGGGGTCTAGGTTGGCTATGAAGAAAAACTATTTCCCTAGGAGGGTGGTGAAGCACTGGGACGGGTTCCCTAGGGAGGTGTTGAAATCTCCATCCTTAGAGGTTTCTAAGTCCTGGCTTGACAAAGCCCCGGCTGGGATGATGGAGTTGGGCTTGGTCCTGCTTTGAGCAGGGGGTTGGACTCGATGACTCCTGAGGACTCTTCCAGCCCCATGAGTCTATGAATCTTCATAGGGCAATTGAGGTTTTGGCTGCAGATCCTCAGCTGGTGTAAACTGTCCTTGCTCCACTGACATGACCAGGCGAGGAGCTGTCCTCTACTGTCTAGTTTATGTTTAAAAACAACTTTCAGGGCCGAGCACTTGTCTGCCAGCCCTCGTCGTGCAGCACGATTACAGCTCCTAATGGAGATCGATGGGGGACGCACCCGCTCGACTCTGACTGGTGCTACCTAGACAGGCTTTGCCCAATTGATTGGAACCTTAAGGGCTAATCAGATTGTACCTTCAGCTGCATGACTGAGCTGTGGCAGTTTCACAGCACAGCTCTGTGTAACCGTATTACTGCTGAAATCGCTCAGCAGACCCCCGTCGCGCTCAAGGCTGAATCGTGCGCTCGGTTACACTCCTGTGACCTCCTGGACTTACGTGGGCCGGGGTGGTTGGAACAGAGGTACAATGCGGCCTTGGGAAGGTTTGGCTGTCAGGGACTCAGGGCGGACTTAGAGGCTAACCCAGTCTTAATTCCTGTTGTGGCTAGCTAAAACTTTCAGAGCTTGGAAGAACAGCCTCTGGTGTCCTCTAGGAGCCCTTTCAATGGCATTCTAGATTTCTAGGTGGGTTTTTTGTGATTGGACTTTCTAACCCCTTGGATTGTTAACACAAGGCCGTGCGTTGTCGCGCTTTCTTTCTAAGTCCTTCAAGCGGGTGGTCAAGTTGTTGCCTTCTCCAGAGTCCTGAGTTACTTTCATTATCCACCCCAAGGGGAGGGCTTATATCTGGGAGAATTCATCCCCTAGATCAACTGCAGTACAGAGGTTAGCTACAGAATGGGAACCCAGTGATGCGTAAGAGATCATTGGCCTTCTGTAAGATCTGCGATTCTTAACCAACCACACCCACCCTGCCGTCTGCTAACCGGGAGAGGACACTGCAGAACGTCCAGTGTTTGTGCAGCTCACGCCATCCTTCACGGCGAAAACGAGTGTTAGTCGTCACCCCCATCACCATCATCTTCATCACCAGTGGTCAGTCACCATCCGGGTAGCTCCCAAGGTGGGGGCGGCTCTTATAGCATGTTATGCCCATTGAAGTTTGGATGTATGAAGCCTTTTACCTCATTTTCTTATTTGAACTCCTACACCCCGGTATTTTGGGGGTGCTCCTCTCCCTGTGGGCCAGCGTGTTAATTCCCCTTTATTACAACCATCATGGGCAGGTTACCGCATAGATTTTTTTTTTTTTTTTTTTTTTTTCTGTTTCATCCCAGCTGCTACTCAGTCGTGTATTTTCTCAGACATTATCATCCAAACTCAGTGGTTATTTTCAAAATCTAAACAAAATCTAAACATATCACAAACATTGATACAAGCTTGGCAGGTTTACTGTTAACTTACTTATGTCAACCCTAACTTATCCGTATAATACAGCAGTCTTTATCTAAAGCCTAATTTGGCTCAGTTAAATATCTTAGCCTGTAGGTTTCCTGCATTTCAGCTTCTAGCCTTAAGGTATCTTCAGGTATTAGTCTCTCATATCCATCTCTTTTAATGGATTAATTTATTAGTGACACAGCTACAAGGCTCATCCTGTTTATTGCCCCTGGTGCGATGTAAGCGCTGGTCACATCAAACTCAACAGTATTTACTGCGGCTTCACTTTAGAAGTTATTGGATTACCGCCTCTCTGAGGGTGTAGTGTTACTAAAGGTGCTTTTTACTAAGGATGATAATTACAGTCCTCTTTGCTCTCAAGTACCCATTTGTTACATTCATCTACTGAGCTTACTGTATTCTTTTAAGTGGCTGCAGGCACTCCAAGTTCTTGTAGGGATCTACTTAATCATCTATTAACAAATATAACAGTGACAGGCGAAGAAAAGAAGGAAGCGTTAAAAAAATGCACGCATTTTTCTTTCTTGTTTCATGTGCTGGCCACTCATCTTTTAATGAGATATGGCTGATGAGAATGGGTTGTCACATGGAGAAGCATTTCCATTTACAACAGTTTTCATCATTTTTTTTTCTTACCTAAAAGAAAAAAAAGGCTTTTAGAAGGAAATATCATTATTTACCGAAAACACTGATTTCCTTTGAAATGTTCCAAATACTTTCTTATTACATGAAAATGTTTCATTTTGGCCTTTTGAAAATCAAAAAAGGATTTGTCTTCGGGTTTCAAGCTTTGAGTTTTCTACCCTACCTTGTCTTCATTGGCCAGACCAACCAAAACTACAGGCAGCCCTCACCATTCGCAGGGATATGTTTTTGAGCTCACCACAAATAGGGATATCAATAAACACAGGGTGGCGGGTAGTGTTCGCAACACAAAACAACCACATTTTCCTTATAAAATGGTATAATGATGCAGTCGATTTAATATTTCCATGGGATAATGCAATAAACGCGTGTAGTAGCTAAAATTTCCCAGAGTGGAGTCGTTGCAGCTTCAATTTCCTTTTCACTTTCAGGCTCCGTTGCTAGAACTCACTGAAAAAGCGTCATCACGCTGGGTCGTGTGCTTGAGTCGGCTCACCGTGAAGATGCAAAACCGCGCTAGCGAGGGCTTCCCATACATAAAACGGAAAAACGTGTTGGGTTTTGAAAAGCAAAAAGGAATGTTTTGGTTTTTAATAGGAAAAATCAGAAAATGTCAAAGGAGAGTCGTCTTTGGGTGGCTTTCCCTTCAAAAAATGTCCCAGAGAACAGGTACCTTCTTTCAAACATTTCCGTTTCCATTGGTGTCTCAGGGTGTGTCTAGACTACTGGTTTTGTCGACAAAAGTGGACTTTTGGTGACAAAACTATACCTGCGTCTACACTACTGCTGAGTTCTGTTGACAGAACTCGGCAGTTTTGTCAACACCAGTAAACCTCATTCTACGAGGAATAACGCCTTTTGTCGACAGAAGGCGTTATTACATCTACACTGTCCTTTGCGTCTACACTCTCATGTCGACAAAGCAGCTTGCTTTGTTGACAGAACTGGATGTAGTCTAGACGCTCTTTGTCGACAGAAGTTTTGTCAACAATATCTGTCGACAAAGCCTCCGTCAACAAAAGCCTGGACGTACCCTCAGAGAGGAGCCACTGGGGTGCTAGCTGGCTGAACGGTTTATTGGTGGGAAGTGGAGCTTAAACCAGACTTGAATCTGATCCAGTGTCTTAATGAACATAAAATGATTTTCTTTCTGACGCTGTTCACCGGCCTAGAGACAGTAATAATGGTTTGATGCTGTTGATCAATGACAGACTGGCGTCCACACTGTCGAAACAGAGGGCCAGCTAAAAAAATGCACCATGCCTCAGGAAATATAGCTGGGCAACTCCTCTACTGGAGAATTTCCCTTGTATGCTGCTGGTCCTGACTGACAAATAGGCAAACTTTACACTAGGCAAGCTGCCCTCCTGCCCTACCTCTCTCTGATGTTGGCATGTCCGATCCAAAGTGGCCATGAAGATTCAGATGGAACAAGTTCAAGGTGCTTGGAAAGCCATCCTCTTTTCCCTGCCTCATTCTACAGCAAGCTCCTTGGCTTGTATTCTTGAGTAGAAAAATCTATGCAAATAACTGGGTTTTTTTTTTATTCACTGGCAATTTTCTGGAAATCCAGGGTTAGATAATGGTTTGCGTCCAAAAACACGCTTTTTGAATTTTTTTGTCAATGAGAGGCTGAAAACAATTCACCTCAGGTCGAACAAAAATGTTAATTTCAACCCCAAATGAAAAGCTTGGGCTTGATTTCAAGTGTGGGGGGGGGGAGAGATTGGGGGTCACTGTTGAAATCTTTTAAATAAAATGGACATTTGGGAATGAAAGTCATTTCATATTGAAAACATTGAACCCAGCGTGTCAAAACAAAACATTTCTGGGGGTTTTTCCGATGATGGTTTTGACCAAAACAATATGACGGTGTTGATGTGGACTTGTGAAATGTTTCAGTCAACCAACATTTGCATTTCTCTTTCAAAAAAAAAATTTTTTGGTGAGAAAATGTTGCTCAGCTCTACTTTTGATTCCCAGAGGATCTTTTGAAAACCCTCATGGTCTTTCCAATGGTGACCTGTTCTCTATTTCATGCTTAGCCAGTGACACTGGTGACGGGCCCTGTCCTGCTCCATAGTCTCTGTTCTGTTGATTAGATCTGCCCTGTACTATATTCTCGGGCTGGTGATGGGACATGGTCTGTGTTCTCTCCCTCTCTCTCTCTCTCTTTCCGCTGCCATAGATATATCATGGTGCACTCAGAAGAGGTAACGGTGTCTGAGTTGGGGGCGTGGATTAGCTCCACTTTAATCCGTTCTCTGCGGGAACAAGGCTGTTTTATTTATATGCATCTGTTCCTGTAGGCGTGTAAACGCTTCCAGAATTGATGAGAATTCCAAGGTTACTCCACAGGAATCAATAGCAACATTTAAATGTACTAATCTGTGTCATGGTGCACTCAGAAGAGGTAACGGTGTCTGAGTTGGGGGCGTGGATTAGCTCCACTTTAATCCGTTCTCTGCGGGAACAAGGCTGTTTTATTTATATGCATCTGTTCCTGTAGGCGTGTAAACGCTTCCAGAATTGATGAGAATTCCAAGGTTACTCCACAGGAATCAATAGCAACATTTAAATGTACTAATCTGTGTGATGCGAGTAGCAGATTCTAATTGAGGAGGACATTTGTCTTTTCCATGTGATTGCCCCTGTCTGAATGGCCATCAGAATGCCCTCAAGGAAGAAGATCAATTTAATTTTAAATTCTCTTGTGACATTGAATCAGCTGGTGCATGGATAGGTCACTTAGTGCTGCTTTGAGTTTCCAGTTGCAGAATATGTACGCGCTTCGTTTCCTTCACATAGGATTGCAAAGTTAATTGATATAATAGTTGATCGCTCAGCAGAAGGGATAAAAACAATTATAAAGATTCACGCAGGTCTGGCTTGAATGGAGAGTAATTTCTCTCTGGTTAAAATTAAAGACGGGTTCAAGCTGAAATGAGTAGTGCTTGCTCCAGATCTAAACATCATCAAAATGTGAGGGTGTTTGGAGCCACGATTTAAATGTGGTACCTCTCTAGAGCAGAGAAAATTACTTACCATTTTCCAGCCAACTCTGCTGAACTGCCCTTTTAATTTCTGTTTCTTCTTTTTTCCTTGGTGGAAAACTTTGACCCTTTTTTTTTTTTTTTTTTTTTTTTTTTTTTTTTTTTCTCCAGCACAAATTTGAATTCCAAAATATTTTGGTCATAAACTGAAATATTTTGATTTGGAAATGCTTCTAGAGTGCCTCTTGGGAGTTGTCGTTTGTGTTCCTCAGTTCTCATTGGTATGCCAGGCTGCCTGGCCAGACTGTATCTCCCATAATGCACTGTTCTCTTTCGTCTTGCAGAAGGGAAGCAGTGCATCATGGGAGCCTACAGTCATGCTGCATGTCCAAGTGACAGCACTGTATTTCAGCATTTGGATTTCAGCCAAAATATTTCCAGTTTTTGACAAATCAAAATCTTTTGCAGAAAGTAGCAACTCAAATGTTGAATCAAAAATTCAATTTTCTGTCCAAAAAGAGTTTTGATGGGAAAATTTTCAACTGGCCCTATTTCTTCAGAGGTCAGTTCCTTAGGGCATGCTGCTCTCAGCTGCCAGGAATATACCTGTCCATCTCTGGATCGGATCGGTACTTTAGCCTGAGTTCTCGATTGGAGCTCACGTATTGTGAGCTACAGCCTGCCTCTTGGGTGAGTGGTAGAAGCTAAGTGGTGATTATGTAACCCTCCTTCACATGGTGTGGCTCTCTCTCCCACTGTGGTAGGGTCCTGTAGCTATTTGTGTCGGCACTGCATCTCAGGGAGAAGGGTGACTATTTTAGATCCAGAGGTGCTGGGTTTGAATTCTGCTGCCAACAAAAGACCCAAGAGCATTGCATTACATTTGATCAGATAAATTGACTGAATAAACTCTCTCCTTTATCCTTTTGCTCGCATAGAAATATCCTAGGAAGCCTAAACATACCCACACCATTCGGATCGCATGACCACCAACAGACTGAGCATTGCTTATTTTTCTCCTTCTAGTCTCCGGCCCCTGAGTCCCACACCGATCCCGATGTGGAAGAGGAGGAACTGAAGAGGAAGCTGGAAGAGTTAGCCAGCAACATCAGTGACAAAGAAGATTCTTCTGAGGAAGAGGAGGAAAGGGGGAAGGATGAACCACAACCGGAGATGAGTTCCTACAGCAGTGACCTGCCCAGTAATGCTCAGAAGGTAGCGTGTATCCTACCGTCTAAAATTCAGTTCCCGTTTTCACGTCGGTCTCCATATTTCCATTTCTGTTCCTACTCTTCCTTTCCTCTTAACATCCTATGATGGCACCATAGACAATACCGACTGGCTTTTCCTGTGCCCTGTCATGGACACCCAGTGTTAGCAGCTAAGATCTTTGCCTCTTCACCTTGCCTGGATGGCAAGAGCGTGGGACAGACCGTGAGAGAGGGGCAGACCAGTTGCCCTCAACCTTTACCATACTGGCACCTCTCCCATGCCCGGTTTCCATCTTCCACTTAGCAAGAAGGGAGCGTACGGTGGTGCCGGAAGCTTGTAGTTGAGACAAAATAGTGGGAAGTGGTGGAAAAAATGGAAGGTTTGCTCAATGTTGAGTAGGTGTGCGTGGCAGGGAGCCCAGGTCATTGGAGGGCTCCCTAGGGATGTGAAAGGTGACCTGGTTAACCATGAGGGGCTGGAGCAGCTCAACGGCCGCCGCAGGCAGAGGGCAGTTTCCACCTGTGGGGCCTGCTGCAGACAGGGGCGCTCCAGCCCAACCAGAGCCATCCCGTCCACAACAGGCCTGTGCACACCACAGGTGGTGTGCAGGTCGCTCCAGCCCAGCTGCAACGGGTGGGGGAACTGCCCCCGCCCACCCCCTTTAATCGGTTAGCCAATTAAAGGGGATTTTACATCCGAGGCCACAAGCTTCATTTTGATTTCTGCCGCGTGGCGGACGGTGGCTTAGGAGAGAGGCGCCCTTCTCCCGGCAGCAGCGAGGTCCCTGCGTGAGATCAGATCATGCCAGCTCCGTGCTGGGGGTGGGGCAGGGTGCCAGGCACAAAGAGAAACCAGCCCGCGCCCGTGAGTCTCTGCGTCCGGGTGGACTGAGGTGGGCCCACGCAGCGGGGTGGGGCAGAGCAGCGTTGGCTTTGGCTCTGAGAACCGGCCCACTCCAGCCTGAGCGGGAACGGGGGCAGTTCTGCGTTGCCCTGCGGCGCGAGCCCCACTCAGCTGCCCTGGGCTCGGAGACTCCCTGGGGCAGGGAGCGTTTCTGCAGTGCAGCCGTCCCACTTCCCCCATGCCCTCCCCAGCCTCACTGGCAGCTTTGCCAGCAGGCTGCAAATGGGGGCACCAGCGTGTTGTATCCACTGAAGGGACGGGGGCCCGGGCTGGTGCCATCCCAGCCGGGCACTCGGTGTTACTCAGGGCCACTCCAGGCTGCTCTGGGGATCAGGCTGGGTGTGGGGATCGGGTCTACCACAGCCCTGACCCTTGTCTGCTTCCTGAAGAGCAGGGGCAGGGCCTGAGGGGCTACCTCTGAGGAGATCCACTGCTCCTAGGGGGCCTAGATGGTTCTAATTATTAGCCCCCTAGGGAAGGACCCAGGGTCTAGCCTGCCCTGTGCTGGGCTGGCGCCTATGTTGGCCTTGCCACGTACATGCCCCTAGTCCTTTGCTGTGTGCTGCGCTGCCGGGGGCAGGGATCCCTTTTCCGCCCTCAGGCAGTAGCTGTTCTGTTCTGCGTCGGCGCCCGGGCAGCGCAGAGAGGCTCACGGCCTTACTCCAGCCCCCTAGGGAAGGACCCAGGGTCTAGCCTGCCCTGTGCTGGGCTGGCGCCTATGTTGGCCTTGCCACGTACATGCCCCTAGTCCTTTGCTGTGTGCTGCGCTGCCGGGGGCAGGGATCCCTTTTCCGCCCTCAGGCAGTAGCTGTTCTGTTCTGCGTCGGCGCCCGGGCAGCGCAGAGAGGCTCACGGCCTTACTCCACCCGAGACTGAGGGCTCCAGGCATCCTCCTCCCCCAGAGACTGAGGGCTCCAGGCATCCTCGGCCCGAGGAGACTCATTCCCTTGTGTGCTTGTTCAGCTGAAAAGCCCCGGCAGACAAAGGCCCTCTGGGCTGTCAATACACCAGCCCCTCCTCGGAGAGATGAGCTCCCAGGTCTGTATTGTCCCCTCAGTCGATGACTCAGTGTGGCTGTGCTGACAGCTCCCGAGGCCGGGAAGGGATTCAAATATTAATTAAAGGAAGAGCGAGCCACCCAGGCCCTCGCCCAGCCGCCCTTTCCCGGCGAGGCGTTGCATGAGAACAGAGCAGGGGGGCTGGCATCCCGCTGGGTTTTAATGGCTCCTTTGTCTGGCACCCTCAGCAGCTCCCGGGGTGCCCTCTGGCCCGGCTCCTTTTAACAAGCGGCGCCACTCGCCGAGGAGCGAGACTGGGCCCGGGAGCACGTCAATGCCTGTGCCACGCCGCTTTCATCTGCCTGAGCCCAGAGCTGCGTCTCTTCTCTACGCAGCCTTTTTACTTGTGTCCATCTGACGCTGGGAAGCAGCCCTGGGTGGTGGAGATGGAGGTGACTCCGAGCGGGCGAGCGGCGCCGGAGTGGGGCGCCGGGGTGGAGCAAGTGCGTGCGTTTTGGGAGATCTGTGTCCCAGCCCAGGGCTGTAATTACATTCTAGGGACAGCCGGAATGTCACAGGAGTACGGAAGGTGCAGGTTGGGGTACAGCTCGCTAGTCTCTTACCCACAATCCCCCGCCAACATGCTGTACCCTCGCTGAACAGCTCTATGCCCAAAAACTACTCAACAGAGTCCAGGTGGGGACGTGCTGCCCGAGTTCTCACAGTGCGTCTGCACTGACCCGTGTCTGTTCCCATAAATAAGAGCAGCTTCGGGTCTGCTCTGACTTTGGCAACTGGCTGCACGCTCATAAGAGCAGCCATCGGTTGTGAACAGGCAGACGCGGGTGCGTCCCAACCCCAACCCGCCCCCTGCACATGGGCAGCAGCAGTGGGCATTGAAGCTACCCAAGTGTTCGCCTTCCCCAAGGGGTTCTCCGGTGGCTAGGTCAGACCAGAGTCCAGTGACACAAAGTGGCCAACCAGAGGGAGTCTGGGCTATAGAGCAGAACTTGGCTCTGGGCTTAGAGTCAAGGTATCCCAGTTAGCTCTGCCTACCTCTTGGTCGCCAACCCGAACAGTAGCAGCTACAGTGTCTGCGGCTGTTATTCCCCGCTGCTTCGTTAAGGACATTTAGAAAATGCTTCTTGTTTAAAAAACTCCATGTCTTTCCAGAACCAACTTGATCTCTGGCTCCCGCCTTTGGATCTGGACTCAGAACACCCTAAAATCCAGATAGGTCCGAGTCCCGGTTTTGATTCAATCCATGTAACAGAGCGTGGGGCCCCTTTGCAAAATTTCTGATGCAGGTTTGCATTTCAAATGCCTCCAATGATGGGCTTAGGGGGGGAGGGTGTTTTTCTACTCCATATTAGCTTGGTGGGGGGGGTATTCAACTTCACATTGACTCGAGGGGAGAGGGTGTTGTTCAACTCCACGTTGGCTCAGGAAGAGCAATATAAAAAGAAGGAACAGACATAGAAACAGACTCTTTTCTCCTATGACAAGCAGCATAGAAACGACGGATTTCTGTCTCCAAGCCCAGGTATTGACAGCCAGGATCGGGCCCACTGTAGCAAGAAGCCGTATGTTGCAATTAGGTGCTAAACGCTCTCCCTGTGCAGCATTAGAACTAGCCAGTTAGTGAGAGCCGTGCTTCGCTAGGATGCAGCCTGGGCCACGCAGGGCAAGAGGCTGAAAAAGGAACATAGTCAGGGCTGCCCACCGCGAGCAGCTGTGGCCTGATGAATCGGAGCTGAGTAGCATCAGGGACAGCTGCTGGGCTAGAGGGCCGCACGGGAGCATTCCGCCCCAGGAACCCGTCCCGCAAAGAACAGCCACCCGCTTCCCCGGGCCGTCTGCTGAGAAGCAGCTGCCTCACGTGGAAAGCAGAGGCGAGATGAGCAAAGCGCCTGATGCAAGCGCCTGCTTCCCAGGGCAGCCGGGGCAGGGCCACAGCAGCGGGACACGTGCACCGGCGTCGTGGCTTACGGCAGGAGTGAACGCTGTTCGTGTGGGGCCACACAAAGCTTCGGGGCTGTGCGGTTGTATAACTGAGCTGAATGGTGATGGGTATTGCCAGCCGCAGTGGTGGGGAGATGGCGGGGGAACTGTGAACTGCCACATGCAAACCAATAGCTCTACTACAGCTGGCTCCAGCCTTTTTAACCCCCCATCACTCTGTTAATGTGAGATCGACCTCAAGCCCAAATCCCCTGGCCCCGCTTCCTTCCCGCCCCTTCTCTAAGGCCCCGCCCCTGCTCCACCCCTTCTCCGAGGCCTCACCCTGCTCGCGCCATCCCCCTTCCTCCCCCGCCTCACTCGCTTGCACCAGGCTGGGATAGGGGGTTGGGGTGCAGGTTCTGGTCTTGGGCCAAGGGGTTTGGAGTGTGGGAGGGGCTCCAGGGTGGGGGATTGGGGCCCAGGAGGGGTTCAAAGTGCAAGCTCTGGGAAGGTGTTGGGTGCCGGAGGAGGTTCAGGGCAGGGACGGGTTCAGGAAGCAGGCTCTGGCTGGGCACCGTTTGACTGAGACGGCTTCCGGGTGGTGGAGCAGTGGGGTTAAGGCGGCTTATTCCTGCCCTGGCCCTGCACTGCCCCTGAAAGCAGCCGGCATGTGCCGCAACGGCTCCACAGGCTGCCCCTCATCTACAGGCGCTGACCCCACAGCTTCTACTGGCCACGGTTCCCTGTTACTGATCAGTGGGAGCTGCAGGCGGGGGCCTGCCCGCCTCGAATTTAAGCATGAATGACAGTTCAGAGGATTCTCTTTGAACCTAAGAGACAGACTTTGTGACACAGATTGAGTGTAGGTGACACAGACTGGGAGAGTGTGTGTGACTGACTGTGTGACAGTGACTGTGTGTGTGGCACAGACTGTGTGTGTGACTGACAGAGTGTGTGTGTGCTGGCTACTGCTGGATAAGTTTCTGAGGGAAACCACACACTGTCTCTTTAAGACAGGGAAAGCTGTTCTGCTCTGTTGTCTCCCCTCTCCTCCCCCTCCCCCCTATGTAGATGAGGTAGAGGGGAGGGAGGGAGTGTGTGTGTGTGTGTGTGTGTGTGTGTGTGTGTGTGTGTGTGTGTGTGAGAGAGAGAGAGAATGAGACACACAGTGTGTGAGAGTGACAGATGAGCATGGCCACGCTCCCTCCATCCCCTTCTGTGTGGAGATGGGGTACAGGGATGGTAAGAGGGGGACACCCCGACATCAGCCCCCCCATTCCCTCCCACACCCTGCCTAGCAAGCAAGAGGCTCCTGGGGGGCAGCTCCAAGACCGAGGGCAGGAGCAGCAGGACTGTGGGTGGAGGGGCAACTGAAGGGCCAGTGTTCGATAGCTTCCCGGCCAACCCAGTCAGGATTCCCTGTCAGAGGCTCCAATATCTACCGGAAGATCCCGATCTACTGGTTGGTGACCCCTGCTCTAATATTTGTATCCTGCAGCGCCTGGGAACCCCCGCTCAGTTCAAAGTCCTTCTGTGTGAGGTGCGGTACGCACAGCCTGCGAGGCCAAAAGCTGCCCCCTTGCAGCCTTCTCCTGCCAGCTAATGGGAGCTCGTTTGGAGATGGTTCCTTTGTCACAGCTGTCCTCCACCAAGCGCCTTCTGCCATCAAAGCACTAGCTCCCAGCCACTTCCGTCTCTGGCTGAGAGCCCTCGAGGGACAATGGGAGAGCTTTAATTACAGCTCCTCGCCTCTGCCCCGTTGGAGCTGTCGCCTGTAGGGGTGGGCATACTAATGCAGCTGTTTTCTCCGGCTGTGCGCGGGCTGCAGCTCTGGTTGTGTGTGGCGGGCCACAGAAGGAGCCAGGTCCAGGTCCTGGAGTGGAGCGGGTCAGCAGGAGGAAGCCCTCCAGGGTGGGAGGTGGGAAGGAGGCGGGCGAAGCCGTCGAAAACTTGAAGGAACCATAAGGCTAAACCAAAGAGGTTCAACTAAGGGCCAGGGCCCCCCAGAAAATCAGGTGTCAGGGAATCACTCCCTCCCCCCAGCTGCCCATTGTCCGGTTAGATGGGCGTGAGAGAGGCAGAGGTTCACTGCTGTGGGCTGCTGGGAGATTTAACTGAGTTCAGTGTGATCAGCCTTCAGCTCTTAGTCACTGCCAGACAAGGTGTTTGCGGTGGAGTCCAGCCAGCGCCCCTTCCCCGGACAGGTTCCGTCCCTCGCGGGTACAACTACATCTCTCTGGGATGTGCCCGGGGTACGAGCCAGACTAATGAAGTAGCTGTGTCACCTGCCCTGGAACCTGGGGGGCTCTTGACACTGTTTTGCGGCTCCGGCGTCTCTCTGGACAGCTTACGAGCAGCCTCCCCTGCAGCCAGCCAGACACCTCGGCTCTCGGTTGTGGGACCCTGGCCCACTCCCAGGCCTAGATTTCCCCCAGAAATGTCTGTCCTGCCCTGCCCGATCCTGAACAATACAAATCCATCGCACTCCTGTTCTTGCTGTAACAGAAATAATATGCACATAACTTCCCCCGTCCCCTAAGGGAGTTTCCCAGACCCGTCAATTCAAGCACTGTGGGTTAAATAAAACAATAAAAGAAGTTTATGGACTGCAAAGAGAGAGATGTTAAGTGAGTGCAAGTCACGAGGTATAACAGTCAGAAGTGGTTACAAAAAAGCTAACGGTTAAATGCAACTGGTGCCTAACACAACGAACTATGTTAAATTCAAAGCAAGGTTTTCTCACCACATGTGCTCAGCAGTCTGACTGCCCGAACTAACGAGGCAGGAGCAGTTTAGTGGCTGCTTCCTTTGGCCCTTCTCGTGCAGTGGATCGATGGACGAGAGAAAGGAGAGGGCACAGTGGGGGGTGTATCCCTCCTTTCTGTAGTGTCCGTTCCTCTTTTGGAAGACCCTCCCCGCGGAAATTCAGGAGTGAGAGTCTATAGGGAAGGATGTTTCCTGCCGCTTTTTCCTCACCTGTCGGAGCGTCTTTTGTTTCCCTTCCTCCGTGATGACATTGTGTACTGCTTCAGTGCGAATTAAGCAGAGCATGCATGGCTTGAATTGAGTCCGGCCTGTTTGCCAGCTGCAGTTTAGAACACGTGTCAGAAACAGTAGACAGGAAAGTCTTACAGTCACACATGGAACGTAGTTGCACGTAGTTTATCAGGACAATATTAACCATCCAATACTGAGTTGACAAATGGTTCTCCTCACGGCACTGGTGCATTAATTGCACCTCCAGCTGCCGACGCAGCTAAGGAAGACAGGCCTTCACCGCCCGGCTGCGTTGTTCCTTCTCCTTGCAAGCACTTGTTTCTAATGCCAGCCTCCTGGTCTCAGTGCACGGTACGAAGATCCTTTTCCGGACGCTGACACCGTGTGATGGGGTGTTGGCGTTTTGCCGTGGGGTTTCCCAATGAGCTTTGCCTCAGCAATTGTTGCTCTGGAAAAATAGCAAAGGGGAGGAAATGGCCAAATCCTTTAGAGGAAGACATCCCTGCCGGAGTGCAAAGGTACAGACAGTTCAGCAAAATGGTAGTTACACAGCTCGGCTCTCGCCAGAGTCCTGTTTCAGCCTGAGGACTGTCTAAGCGCAGAGGGGGGTTCGAGTGGGAAGACGGTGTAACAGGCGATGCCTGACTGTGAGGTGATCACACGCTGGCTTTTTTGGCCAGCCGGACAAGGCCCCGCGAGACGTGGAGGAACGTGCGCGGCACAGCGGGACCACTGACTCGGAGCTGTCGGAGCTGGAGGACAAAGTGGCCTCCACGGCCGTGCAGGTGCAGCAGGCCGAGAGCGAGGTAATAGCTCAGGCCGCCGCACAAAAGGCGCCGGCTTCACGAAGCGGCTAGCGCAGCTCTCCGGGATGGAACACAGGGCCCTGGGACGTGATACGACCGGCTGATCCCACACGCCCCCGCTAGTTTCTGTGGTGGGGTTTATTTGTGTTACTGTCCCGCCGGGGGGCTGTCGTCAGAGGCCAGCTGCACACAGTGCTGTACAAACACACTGCTGGGCCAACTGCTGAATGCTTCATTTGCTCAGTAAGAAAACAAACGCTGAGCGAGCATTTCCTTTGCCCTGGCAGACAGTGTTTCGAGCGGAGTTCGCCGCCGTAGGCGCATTCTGCATGGTCAACAGTGTTCCACGCAGGGAAGATTCATTGGCTGTACAGCTGATTAGCAGAGCCCCCACAACCGACACCTTGTGTTTCTATGGGTGGTGCACTCTGCCCATGCTGCGGTGCACATAACAAAATTTATTCTGCAACGAGATAGAAAAAATAGAGGGAACATTGGCGGTGTGTACCCTTGGCAGCGGGATAGCTGGAGGGAACTTGCCGAGGGCCCCAAAACTAATGGTGTTGCAGCCTGCCCGTGGGGAATACAGTGCCGTTCGGGTTTGGCCTGTCTGGATAGGCAGGCAAACCAAACCTGAACAGTATCACAGCGACTCCTGTGCTGTATGCCCCAGCACCAATCCAATCTGGTCCATCCATCCTCCTGTCTCCATTGATGGCGGGGCGGCGGGTCCGAACCTTACTGGCACTGCCTAGGATGAGCCCGGTCCCGGGGGAGGTGTGCGTGCCGTGTGAACCCTTCCCGGGACACATCTGCGGGAAGCTGTGTGCTTTTTCTCTCGTAGGTGTCCGACATAGAGTCTCGGATCGCGGCGCTGACCGCTGCGGGGCTGACTGTGACCCCCGTGGAAAAGCCAAAGAAGAAATCCAGCACACAGGTGAGTGCGTCTGCATGCAGAGCACGTCCCCGGCAGGCAGGTGCGGGCTGGCCGCCTCCCCCACCCGTTCCTGCCTCAGTGCTAAGTGACGGGCGGGCCTGCCGGTGATGCTGGGCACCTCTGATCTAGGGTGGCCAATTCTCGTCGCTGATCCTTTGCCGTGACTCTAAGCCTGACACGTGAGTTGTCACAGGTGGAAATAAGGATACTTGCGGGGCAGGGGGCCTTTACATTGCACTATTGAGCTTCTCATCCCTAGCGCTCACAGTGCGTCCCAAATGTGGGTCCGTATCTTTACTCCCCGAAGGCCCAAGGCAAAAGCTTGGCTGATTTTAAAACGGTGGTAGGAAATTCTACATCCAGTCTAAACAAAGCAGCCGTATGATAAGTGTCCCTGGCTCTTTTACAGTGCTGGCCCTCGGCATATTCCAGAGCGCTTTGCGGAGGAGGGCAGTAGTGTTATCACACCGTACATGTGGGGAAACTGAGGCACAGAGCGGGGATGTGACCTGCTCAAGGACGGCGACCGGGTTGGAAATAGAAGCCAGGTCTTCTGAGCCCCAGTCCCATGCTCCAGATACTGCACCTCTTACCTCATTCAGGGCTGCTGGCCCATTCCCTGGGCCCGTGCCCTGTGTTCACAAGGAACTCGTTTACTGCTCACTGTCTCCTCCTCCTTGCTAAGAAGGAAATCCCAACCACCCGTCACACACAACCGTCAGGGTTTCGTGTTAGGTAGGAAATCCCCCTCTGCAGCAACCTCTGCCGTGTCCGCATACCACCCCTGCCAGCCTCGAGAACTTTCCCTCTGCCCAGCCTAAGGCAGCTGAGATCCATATTGTCAAAGGAGATTGGCTCTTCTGGCTGCTGCTGTTGGCATTGTGGTGGTGCTTAGAGGTCCCAGGACACTAGTGGTCTTGGCAATGTACACACGTACTGAGGCCTTGGCTCCACTTACTGGTTCTGGCAATCGATCTTCCGGGGTTTGATTTAGAGGGTCTGGTAAAGACCCACTAAATAGAATGCTGAGGGGGGTCCCCATCAACCACTGTATTCCTCACTGTTGTCTTCCTGCCAGTCCTTGAGCAGTCAGTTCATGCCACCCGTAGGTCCCTCAGTGTCACCAGGGCAGATGGGTGAGCACGGTGCACCCTTGTTACGAACGTCCCAGCTGCTCTGGGCAGCCCTCTCGCTGCTCTCCTGGTGCTGGAAAAGTCCTAGAAACCTTTTTCCTTTCTTCTGCCCCCAGCTGTTCATGCTCCAGCCTCCCAGGACTGCTGGGAGCAGCCCGGGGGATCAAAGTACGGACTCTTCGGAGATGGCGTTGCCCAGTGACTTCAGAGTGAGTCCTCGGGGGGTACCTTGCCGTCAGTAAGGGGATTCAGCCAAACCAGAAAAACCGGGACTGCTCTGCTCAGGGAGGGTGTGAAAAGCCCGTCTCCCCTAGCCCACTCGTTGAGTCTGGGGTGATTGTGGCCACCAGGGGGCGCCAACAGCCTCCGCAGGCCTTGGGCAAGGCGTAAGGGGCCGGCTCTGCACTCCTGGAAGGGGTGGGGCTTCAGGGAAGGGCGGGGCCATGGCACGCCCTTCCCCCCCCCACACACACACACACATGCACACAACCCTTAGCGGCTCTCTGACAGGGATTTAAAGGGCCTGGGGCAGCAACCGGGGCAATTATCCTCTTCCCACCTCATCGGCAGGCCTGGTGGCCCCCACCCTTTGAGGAGACGTCCAGTA